TTTTTCCCTATCTATACACACACACACACACTCGCATATAAATGGGTGATTAATATCCCAGCTCCAGTTCTTCCAACATAGTCTCAAATATTTTTTAAATATTTTTATTGATTTCAGAGAAGGAGAGGGAGAGAGAGACAGAAACATCAATGATGAGAGAGAATCATTGATCAGCTGCCTCCAGCACAGCCCTCCTCTGGGGATCGAGCCCACAACCCGGGCATATGGCCTGACTGGAATCGAACCCTGACCTCCTGATTCATAGGTCAACACTCAACCCCTGAGCCACAACAGCCAGCCAATCTCAATATGTTAATGAATTCTTTCCCCATCTGTATATGACATGCCATCACTCAGTAAACTATAAAAGGGTTAAAAGTTAGTTTTGATAAAATCTTGACAAAAAAATGACCTTAGAGAACAGTTACTTCATACAGTGCACAATAGACAGATGCTTCCTTATCTCGTGGCTTGGTTTAGAGTTTTAAGAACCAAAATCATGCTTGCCAAAAGAAATTAGCTTCCCTCCGAGACTAAAGACACATACTTTGTATCTTATCACTTACCTCACAAGAAGTATGTTATACAAGTAAGTATAATACTTGCTAACGTCCTCAGGGGTAGTACATCAAATAGGAGTTTCCCAAAGAAATAAGATGACACTCTGTAGTATCCACTGACATATTCATGCCTCAAACACAAAAATTCATCCCATATTAGTTCAAGAAGACACAGGCCAGATGATTAATCCATTCTGCTGCCAGCAGGGGTCTAAAAACTACAGCTTCACCCAGTCAGCATCTTGGGGGCACGCCTCCCCTGAGACCTGTTCCTGAGAGCTCTGTGCAAGGACCCCTCTTCTCAGTCTAGAATTCCCTCCCAATGCCGCCCACTTAGCCCTCAGGACCCCCACTCCAGGTAAACACGTCCTGCCTCTCCTCCCTCTCCTCTGACTGGGTTTCTGTGAAAAAGAACTTCAGTAGCTGATTTCAGTGGTCACACAGGCTTTGCTTCTCCCCACTTCTGACCATGAAGAAGGTGGTGCTGCTATTCTCCATGCCCCCAGGGCATCTTCAGGTCACTAAACCTTCTCATGCCTCCCGATCTTGTGATGAAAACACATGACACATCTTCCTTCAATGATCATGCCTCCCAACCATACATACCTGTTCAATTATCAAATCCTCCCCAGGGAAGACCTAGGTCCCTCCTCTTCCTGACCTCCTCCTCCACTGAGTCCAAACTCTTCCACAAATCTTCATTCTTTCCCTCCCTAACAATTCCTTTCCTCCAGCTTGTAACGATGGGCAAATCTCTTCCCACTTTGAAAAACACAAGAAACAAACCATCTGCCTTCTGCCTCTTGCATCCTCCCTTCCATTGAGGGCTAAGCATCGTCTATATTCTTAGTCAACTTTACTTCCCTACCTTCAATGTACAATTTAACCCACTACTTTCCCTCCACCGAGCTCCTCAAACTTTTCATGTGAAGGTCCTCGTGACTTCTTATTTGCTAAAACAAAAGATCCTTTTCAGTCTCTATCTCTTGCATTCTCTGTACCATTTGTCTTTGCAGCTATTCCCTCATCTTTAAACTCCCTTTTCCCTTGCTCTCATGATGTCCCTCCCAGCCCCAGGCTGCTTTTTCTCAGTGAACACTGGTAATCCCAGGGACCAATCCGTGGCCAACTTCTGGATGTGACCAGTGTGACCACCAGCCCTGACAGTGGACAGCGCCCTTCCCGGAACAGAGCCACGCTCACATGAACAGCTTTTTCTCCGCCACGAAGAGCTCCACGGCTGTTATGCTGCTGAAACACTGGTTGGTGGTCAGGAAGAAGAGCACCCCAGCTCTGCGGAGAGAGAAGGGGAAGAAAAGCGCTGCGTCAATTACACATTCTTAGGTCATTCCTACCTGCTGTACTGTTTCCTCACATGAGAAGCATTAAATAACTATTCAGATTAATGTGGCAAGGAAAATGCCCTAGCCAGTTTGGCTCAGTGGATGGAGCACAGGCCTATGGACTGAAGGGTCCTGGGTTCAATTCCTGTCAAGGGCACATGCCTAGGTTGTGGGCTCAGTCCCCAATAAGGAGCATGCAGGAGGCAGTCGATTGATGTTTCTCTCTCATGCATATTTCTATCTTTCTCTCCCTCTCCCTTCCTCAGTCTCTAAAATCAATAAAAACATATTTTATAAATAAATAAATTTTATGAAAGCAGCATGCCAGAATTCCTGAAACAGTGTTGCAGTTCCTTGCACAACCAAAAAGTTTAATGAACATTGAGGATGTGAGCAGAAACTAAAAGGGATGAAGTGATATATTATTTAAAATGACACAAAATTAAGAGAGTGTTTTTTAATGTAATAAATAAATTAAAAATAGCTGGGCCCAGTACACCAGCAGATATGCAAGCTTCTAGACACACACACACACACACACACACACACACACAGGCCTCATATCATAGGAAAAGCTAACTTCAGACACATGGGAGAAGGCAACATTCAGCTCAATTTGTTAAGTCTTTCACTTAACAGTACAATAATGTTCATAATGATTCTGAACTAGTAGATTGTAAAATTCCTTCCATATCCTAAGTTTTATTGTTAAATAACTTAATAGACTCTAATGTTTTAAGGTGGCACTCCATACCCTTCATGTCTCCTTAAGGGTCCTAATGCATATTTTAAATACACAGACACCAGAGAGGAGTTATGGGACAGCCCCCTGAGTCAGAGGGAGAGGGCTGGCCCCACCTCAGTTCTTATGTTGGCCTATGAATGAATTCAAATGAGTAACTCCAGATTATTGCGTTGTTGAAGGGAATTCATTAAGAAACTCATTTATTAATAAAGTAAAACATGCAAATTTATCAAAGGAGCAAGGCAAGCAATTCTCAAGCTAATCTGAAGAGCCGGTTGGGTGGGGGGAGGGTTCTGCCTTATACGCTTTTCCATCTATAAATGTTTAAATTCCTCTGCCGAATGTCTTGGTGCAAGTTAATTTCCAAGGTCTCCCTTTTACTTGGTTGTGGCTATCCCGGAATTTGTGACAAGCACCTGACAGTTTTATCTTGCCAAGCCCTGAGACTGGGAGTGGGATGAGAGAAGACTGCATTCTCCCGTCCCTCTCCTCCCTCCTCTGCTGTCTTTGGAGAGGAAGTCACCACTTGCTTCCAGCATCCTTGGTTGGGGGACCACAGGGCTTGAGATTTACAAGCCGGCTGCAGGCTGCCGAACAGTTTGGCCTTGTTTCATTTTCTTGTCTCAGTTTCCCTATTTCTCCCACCTTGGAGTTTTTCTAGCTTCTCGCTATCCTAAAACAGAATATGAAAAACATTCTGGAGTTGGAGGGTGGCAATGGTTTTACAACAATGTGAATGCACTTAACGCCACTGAACTGTACACCTAAACCTGGATAGGAGGGTAGACTTTATGCTCCATATATTTTATACCATATATGAAAATTAACCTTCCCACACAGCTAGCTTTCAAACCATGGACTTATTCTACTCTTCAGTCCATCCTATACTTGTCTGAAACTCAAACTCTTAATGGATTTCTATAACCTTACAAAAAGTAATAGCTTTTCCTCAAAAGCAAGATCCAAATGTACTTACCTGCTCTGGATTCCCGTGGGGTCACTTTTTAGATCATAGAAAATGGCATCTATAACCAGTCCCAGGATAACTATTATGATTACCTTTTTTAAAAGAAAGAAGAGTTTCAATGAAAGGTAAAAACTTAACACACCATTTATTATTATAATATATATGGCTACATAAGCAAACCACAGCATTGAGATAGATACTTTAAATGATTGGACCAAAGTTCTTGGGAAAATATAAAACAGTGTATGCTATTAGACTGCCTTCTAAATTAAAATACAAATAATTTGCCCTAGCTGGTGCTGCTCAGTGGTTAGAATGTTGGCCCACGGCCTGAAGGGTTGTGGCTTCAATCCCTGTCAAGGGCCAGTATCTTGGCTACAGGCTCAATCCCTGCCACAGTCATGGTTTGATTCCCAGTCAGGGCATAGCCTGGGTTGTGAGCTCCATGCAGGAGGCAGCCATTCAACAATTCTCTCTCATCATTAATGTTTCTATCTCTCTCTCCCTCTCCCTTTCTCTCTGAAATCAATAAAAATATTATTTTTTTAAAAAAAAGTTAAGCCAGCCGAATCCGGTTTGGCTCAGTGGATAGAGCGTCGGCCTGCGGACTGAAAGGTCCCAGGTTCGATTCCGGTCAAGGGCATGTACCTGGGTTGCGGGCACATCCCCAGTGGGAGATGTGCAGGAGGCAGCTGATCGATGTATCTCTCTCATCGATGTTTCTAACTCTCTATCTCTCTCCTTTCCTCTCTGTAAAAAAAAATCAATAAAATATATTAAAAAAAAAAAGTTAAGCCAAACTTAACTTTTCACAACTGAGCAAGGAGACCCTGTCAGTGTATCTGTGTATCTAGTCTGTGGTTATATGTTTGCCAACATTTCTCAAGGTGAGTTTCTGAGGGATGTTTATGACCATCACTAAAAAAAAATAATCCATATCAAATGTTTAATATGCTAATAGAAACAACAAATCTCTAAGAGAGGATCAGAAAACCCATAGCATGTTAAATGAGCATTAAATCTTCTCATACAGAGAATCTATTCAGTCTAAGACCTTCCAAATACAGCCTCCGGTTAACTGCATTATCAGAGGCAAAGTCTGACTCATGTAAATGACTAGTTGAAACCTAAGTACAGCTCTAAGACTGTAGATACCAGATTTATCAGCAGGAGGCCACCAAACATTGCTATAGCTACACATTCCAACATTTACAGAAGCAATCGACATACAAGCAAGTTTAAAATTCCAAAACCATTGGTCAGAAAGCTATGGCCCACAGGCCAAACAGGGCCCTTCACCTAGTTCTTCAGTCCATGAGATAAGAATGATTTCTTTGCCATTAGTTTAATGATTGAAAAAAAGAAAACAAGAAAAATGTATATGATATACAAATACTGATTATTTGAAATGCACATGAAATTCTAATTTCAGTGTCCATGAATAGTTTAATTGGAGCACAGCCATGCTTGATTGTTTATATATTATTATGGCTGCTTTTACCCTGAAATGACAGCTCCATTATAGTGTCTCTGTTGGCCAATGTTGACCTGTTTCCAAAAGACATCAAATTTCCTCTAAAAGAATAGAAATTTACCCTTGGTTGATAGTACACAAAAGTGCTCATTTCTGACAAAAGTGCCAAATAACAAAAATGTCTGGAGCAATTAGCAGTACGTCTCAAAGAGGGATCGAGGCCCTTTGTATTAATAATCAGAGGGCAACAGTACTGAAGTAGGAAATTACGGTGCATGTGGGAAGAAGCCAGTAATGGTTCATCAGAGCCAACTATGCATCATCACCTTTTAGCAGTCAGCAAAAATTCAATGATCAATAATAAAATTAACAACCTCAAAAACAACTGACTAATACCCTTAGAAATGATGGGCCAATGAAAAGGAAATACAAGAGTGTTTTAGGACAGTGGGCTTGCAAATAACAGGAAAACCATACAGGAGCAATAATCAACCACTATCAACAGCATCAGCCCAAAAATGAAAAGAACATTATTTCATCTTTTTTTGTTGTTGTTAATCCTCACCCAAGGATATTTTTTCATTGATTTTTTAGAGAGAGTGGAAGAGAGAGGAAAAGACAGCAAGGAACATCAATTTGAGAGACACATATCGATTGGTTACCTCCTGCCCACGCCAGACAAGGGTACGTGCCCTTGGCTGGAATCAAACCCGGGACCCTTTAGTCTGCAGGCCGACACTCTATTCACTGAGCCAAACTGAGTAGGGCAACATTATTTCATCTTTTTTAAAAAAGTAAAATCTTTATTGTTGAAAGTATTGCATAGGCCCTCCTTTTCCCCCCAATTAACTTCTTCCCAGCCTGTTCCCTTCCTCTCCCTGCCCAGGTCCTCACCACTCCATTGTCTGTGTCCATGGGTTATGCATATATGCATACAAGTTTGAAGATAAAATTAGTCTGACAGTGAATAGCTTTATTTAATGGAAGTCAAGTTTGCTTACTACCTTTGTGTTCTTGGAAAACTGATTCCGGGGCTAGTGTTCTCCTAGACTAGAATCCCTAAATGCAGGTCAATGACAAGGAGCAGCATTTGCACACAGGCTCTCCTCTCAGACAGCGGCGGCCCCTCCCACACTCAGGTGCACTCACTGACATCCAGGTGAAGGCTTCCCTGATCACCTGATTTAAAATGCAAAACCACCCCTGTCCCCTCTCTCTCCTTCCCCCTCTCCTTTCCTTCTCTTCCTTTCTCCGCTTACCTGCTTAGACTTCCTCCATGGCCCACTCTCCCCTCTGCCGCGCTATATGTTTTATTTCTGTATGAGTTTAACAGCTGTCTCTCCTCAAAAGAAAGTATGCTCCAGGAGCGCAGGGATTTTATTTTTACCCATTTTGCTCACCACTGTGTACAAGCTCCCAAACGCTGCACATGATCGATAAAAACCTGTTGACTAAATCAGGAAATGAATGTGTGCAGCTACCAGGAAACCACAAATGTGGCTAAACAATTCCTTTACTTCACCATTTGCGTCAGGGGCGGGGGTGGGGGGCGGTGGGATCCATACAAAGATGATCTATTATAGATTGTCTAAGTCAGCAAAAATATTGAATTAGGTAGTCCAGAAAACTACTTTAAATTTTTTTTCTCTAAGTGAAAACTTAATTGTGTTTAATTTGTGCCACTGTTTCCATATCCCAAATAAAGTGAGATGGAAGTGTGTTCAGAGGATAAGTATAATCTATAGTAAATCATATCAGAAGCTAATGCCCACACATGAACATTTCTCAGCATAATTAGAAGAATCTGTCAGGTTACCTGAGCTAGGGAGGCCTGGGGATTACCCAGTAAGTTTTTGAAGGAGCGCTTGGAAACCCACCTGAGTTGATGACAGAGGAGGTGGCATAGGTGATCTCCTTGAAGGCTGTGCTCTTGTTCTTTTTTTTTTTTTTTTTTTTAAATTTTTTTATTTTTTACAAAGGGTATTACATATGTGTCCATTTTTTCCCCCCGCCCAAGATGTGCTCTTGTTCTGTTTCTGAGCCCCAAGAGTTGATCTAACTCAACTTTTGTTTTGCTGAAGAAGGTGGAGTTGACTTAACACTCAGCTAGTTTTTCTATGAGTGGCTTATCTCTCTTGGAAGGCCCTTCAGTCTCCTTGGCTTGGAATAAAAGTGGACAGAGGGGTCCTCCAGTTCTCCCTCTGGAAGGACGGATGTTGGTGTTGGGGAGAATATAACTGCCATGTCTCCAGGTACTTTGCCAGAACCTCAGATATGCGGCCTTCTGGCCAAGCGTCTGAGATTTCATATTGTTGGAGCCATAATTGTAGCCCTGGGGGTTGCAGCTTCCTATAAGTTTGGTGTAGCTGAACCAAGAAAGAAGGCATATGCAGATTTCTACAGAAATCATGATTCCATGAAAGATTTTGAGGAGATGAGGAAGGCTGATATCTTTCAGAGTACAAAGTGATCTTGGAATGTAAAGAATTTCTTTGGGTTGAATGCCACGGAAGTTTGTCCCTGACCTGTGGTCCTGAACTATGAAACATGAATATTTGAGCTAAGGAATAGTTTCTCTTGGTAAATAAACAATGAAAAAAAAGTGGACAGAGGGAAACATTAACAAAATAACAGATTTAGCCCATTTTTCTGGAATCCGTTTCTTAAATTCTTCCCTAACACCTTAATTCTAAGTTTGACTATAAAAAAATTATTAGACCTGTCACTGCTTTACACACTAGAAAAATAAGTTAATGGCCTGACTTGCTGTATCCATACACTGGTGGATACAGCAAACTCACCCACCATTTCCTAGCTATAATATGTGTACCCTGATTCTTTTCAAATAAACTTCTTACCATAGGCAGTTGTAGTTCTTAATAGAAAAACCTCTGCCTTTCTTTCCACTGTGTGCAAATGCATAAATTACGAAGGTTCTTATTTCAAAATACTATATAAAAATGAGCATTTTTAAAAGGAAAAAACACTCAGAACTGACACTATCACATAAATGTGCTCTTATACATTAAAAATAAGCACTCACAGACAACAAAATATGTGTTGAGTGATGCTATTGATGAAATACTTATGCCTGCCCCCCACCCCCATTCATATACTGAAACCCAATCCCCAATGTGATGGTGTTTGAAGGTGGGGCTTTTGAAGCGTGCTTAGGTCATGAAGGTGGGGCCCACATGAATGGGATTAGTGTCCTTATAAAAGAGGCTCCAAGAGGTCCCTCCTGCTTCTCTATGTGAAGAGGCAGTGAGAAGATGGTGGTCCACCTATGAACAAGGAAGAGGGACCTCAACAAACACCGAATTGCTGGTGCCTTGATCTTGGACTTCCCGATCTCTAGAACCATGAGAAATAAATGTCTGTTGTTTAAACCACCTGGCCTATGGTAGTCTTGTTACAGCAGCCTGCACTAACTATGGCAACTGGTATCAGATAACAGCATCAGTACATAACTTCACAAAGCCACATTTTAATAACATACCACACTGCTCAACTTCAATCAATTCAAATGGATGATAATATGTGACTCCAGATGCACATTCCTTCACTATCTTCGATCTCTCTGTTTAATACCACAGCAGAGGAGTCTCCATTAATGACATCCAGGAAGAAGTCGGCAGGGTTATTATAGGGCTCACAGTGGTGACCTGCAGAAGAAGGGAACCCAGGTACACAAGCATGATGGTCTTAGGAAATAAAGACTCACTTTCAGCGGGTGAGGGAGATGAGTCTGGGAGAGACAGAATATAATGACTTCTCCCTCTCTTCTGCCTTCACTAATTTACTCTTTCCTTTTATATATTCAGTCACACAAGATCTCAACAATTCTCTGTCTCCCGGCACAAAACCTGCTCCAAATCAACCTGGGTCTCCCAGATAGCTTTATTTATCATAACTCTTGACCCCTGAAACATTCACCACCTAAAAGTGTGTTCTGGCTCTTTTCAGTGCTTATTCAAGCAAAGCCAATTAAGGCATAGGAGGACTGTTTGGGAGAGTTCCAGGGTTCACCTGGTGTCTGCCAGAATGTGAATACCCAGGTTAGCAATGGTACCTACGCCATCTGCTAAATTCAGGCTTAAATCATCGTCTATTATGCTGCTGTAAATCCAATACAGAGAACAAGTCCAGCATTCTCAAGAAGACGTTACCAGTACAGCACACCTGAACTCTCACCTTGACTTTTTGTGTAGTCAAGAAGACAAATTATTTGGGGGGAAAGGCGATATTCGGCCTTTCCAAAAATGTTCAACTGACAAGATAACTGGCTATGAGGTCAATATATTTATTAAACTATTAGGAAAAAGCCCGGCTGGTGTGGGTCAGTGGTTGAGTGTGAACCTATGAACCAGGAGGTCACTGTTTGATTCCCATTCAGGGCACATGCCCAGGTTGCGAGCTCAATCCTGTTGCGGGGGGGTGCAGGAGGCAGTGGATCAATGGCTCTTTCTCATCATTGTTCCCATCATTCTCTCTCCATCTCCCATCCTCTCTCAGAAATCTAAGTTCCTACCCATTGCCAGAACTTCAAGGTACTGCCAAACAATAATAAACTATTAGGAATGTTTCTCTCTCTCCCCTCCCTTCCTCTCTTAAATCAATAAAAATATATATTTTAAAAGATATTCTTAATTGTGTTAGTTGATAATAGTAATGTAGGCAAATGGCCTTTTAAAAAAAAGATGCATAATGAATATTTAGGGAGCAATAAATTATTAATAACTTTCCTTAAAATATTTCAGAAATAAAAAGCTGAAGATGTTAACAACAGGGAAATCAAGTTTCTAGCAATCACACCAGCATATTATATACTACAACCATGTTATAACTATAGAAATCAGACTATTCTCTACATTTCTGTTGTGTTTACAATTTCGTAACAGGTAAAATATTTTTAATGTATTGTTTCAATAAATTTGATAAATTTATTCTAAGGAAGAGAACAACTGCCTTCAACTTATTTTGCCTAGAAATCCAGGCAGGGGACTCAAGCAATGGCGGCCTGTAGGTAAAGACAGGAAAGAACCTTAGTGGAAAGAGAGAATCACATGAACAGAGCCCCAACAAAATGGGCCCAATCACTCATAACATGAAAATAAGTGGTACATGGTAGCAGCTCAGACTTATTCTTCCAAAATACACTTTACATAGGAGACTGAAAGCATCATGTGAAGCAGCAGCCAGCAGAATACCCCATCTTCATGACCTCTGAGTAAGGAATAGCACAGGGGGACTGAGCTAGAGCCATGACAACCTGAAAAAGCTCATCTTCACCCAAAGCATTGATGTCTTCCAACCAATCTTCCTGTCTACTCATCAACTGTAAATCATTCCCTCCCTCATCTCATTCTTCCTTCCTTATCCTGCACAACCCACATAGGGAGCTACTTTTGTCTCTCTTGCCCACAGATGTTAAAATCCAAGGGAGCCCAGCACACGACAGTCTGTAAGAAACCCTGGCAGAAGGAAGGGAGAAAGGAAGAGAGCGGGGAGGGATGGGAGATAAAGTGTCCTAAGAAAGGCTTTAGGAAAACAAGTTGGCTGCTATACCAATTAGAAATAAATACTAATTTGACTGAAAATAATTTTTAAAGCCAAATTAAAGCAAAGTGAAACACGTAGAGCAAGAACCCCGAGACTTTCATCATTTATGAGTTCTAGAAATATACCTCCAAAGGTTAATTTGCATATTACCTTTTTATTAGTATAGATTACTTACAGGAAAAACAAATGTAAAGGTTAATTTGCATATTACCTTTTTATTAGTATAGATTACTTACAGGAAAAACAAATGTTTTCAATAAAAAAAATGTTAAGTGGTAGAAAAAGACTTGTGGAAAATAGGTATAGCCTGACTGGAAAGGAAAATTAGTTCCACTCCTACTTATATCATGTTCACATAATGCATCAGTCATTTCCCTTAGACTTTACCTCCCTCTTCGTGTGAAGGTGATGGAAGTGCTGGGTAGAGAAGCAGAAACAGCCAGCACCCGATATCACAGGCTGCAAAGGAAGGTGGGAGGAAGGGCAGAGACAGCTGGATGATGGGTGGCATGATTGCTTTTATTAAGAAATAAGAAAATAGGTTGAGCAAATCAGTAAATATATTTAAATAACTAGAACCAGGTTTTTCACTTTTTGAGAAGATGCTTTACAAACATGGAAATGTGGAAATAATCCTGGGGTATTAGATCAGAATTGGAAATCATGGGTTTTGCTCTATATATACAGACAGAGATAAAAAGGTTTAGATGTGGGTATACATGTATATGTACATATGTTCCATAGGTCTGTCTGCTGAAAAGTCCTAGGAGCTATGCCATCCCAATACCAATGAACACTCCAAACACCCAGATCTCAGTTAGTAAATATAAAATTCCACAAAAAAGGAAGATCAGCTTATGCCAGGTCTGAGACAGGCAAGTAGACAGTGAGTCTGGAACTTCTGCTGTGCCAACAAAATACTCAAAATATGAGAGAATGAGTTTAAAAAACAAAAAAACAGAACAGACCTACTTTTAAAGATCTCCCACTGACCAAATGAAGAACAATAGGTGTATCAAGATTAATCATGATGATAACGTATTACTGTTGAATGGTACTAAGTATAATATGAACCCATGAGTCTATACTGATATAAATAAATGAATAAAGAGATGATGACTGGAGTTTTCCCTTTCAGTAGAATGCAAACTAGTCCATATGGAAGAGATGGATGAAAGCAGAATGAAGGAGATGGATGAAAACAGAAAATCACCCCTTGGTAGCTACCATAGTGACAGTTTCTGCTGATTCAGGCAGGAGACATCAATGAGGGCTTAGGTGGTAAAATAAGGCTTTAGAATAATGTTATGGTAACTCTACTTATAATATTTATTAATGACATAGGGGAAAACAGGGACATTATGGTACAGGCTGGCAGACACCACCATGACCAACATCACCTGGAGAGAGACAGGAAAATATCAGGTTGCATGATACTAAGGAGATATGATGTGATGGTCAATCAACTATGTGAAGACCATGGTGGCCAACAGCCCCTTAGGACCCATCACTGAAGCTATTAGGAGACTGTGCATCCTCTGGGCTGCTCCCAGACAATGACTGACTGGTTACACAAGAGATGGTCCTCGTTGTAAAAACTAGACCCTGGAGGAGTTAGGGATAATAGAGTGCCATGTGGACAGCTCTCAGATGGTTCAGAAAAGTGCTAATGACAATTGGTT